GAAAGAAGGAAAGAAAGAAGGAAAGAAAGAGGGAAAGAAAGAAGGAAAATAAGAAAGGAAGGAAGGAAGGAAGGAGAGAGAAAGAAAGAAAGAGAAAGAAAGAAAGAAAGAAAGAAAGAAAGAAAGAAAGAAAGAAAGAAAGAAAGAAAGAAAGAAAGAAAGAAAGAAAGAAAGAGAAAAAAGTAAAACAAATGTTATTGTAATTCATCTCAGGGATAACCACAATATCAGAAAACTAGACCATGCATACCTTCCCTGCAACACTGTTTTAGTACACAATTTGTGAGGAAGGGCAAATGCGTACTGTTTGTCCTTCCCCCAAAACTGGGGAGAAGGGGAGCTTATTTGCTACTCCGCCTTAGAAGTGTGGGTCTCGCTAACACCAGAGAAAGTGGTTTATGCATGTGATTATGGGCACAGTCCATCGATTCTACAAAGAATACCAGTGCCTGGTTTTTACCTTCCCCTCAAGTGCCTTCTGGGTCTTCTCGTTTTAGGCCTCAAGGCCCTCTACCGAACTCCAACCATTATTGCCTTGGTGGTCTTGCTTGTGAGTATTGTGGTTCTTGTGAGTATCACTGTCATCCAGATCCACAAACAAGAGGTCCTCCCTCCAGGACTGAAGGTAAGTGTGAAGGGACTGGCAACAAAGGGAAGAAATGGGAATAAAGGGGAAGAAATAAATTATTCCAAAACCATGAGTTAGAAGAGCAGAAAATCCTTTCCCCCACCCTCATTTCTGGCTTCAGCCAGGAGAAGGCAGTGTAAGACTCAAGGGAGAAGGTCTGGACATGCTGGGTTTGTGATATTTGAGGCTACAAATTGAGGGTAGTGGCACCTTCTCCAAAGACTGTGTTGTCTTGCTTTGACTTCTGACTCCAAAGCTAAAATTCGTAACCAAAAGTTGCAGATGGCTATCAAAGATTTACCAGCTCAGCCAGGTGCAGTGGCTCATGCCTGTAGTCCTGGCACTTTGGGAGGCTGAGGCAGGTGGATCGCTTGAGCCCAGGAGTTCGAGACTTGCCCGGGCAACATGGTGAAACCCATCTCTACCAAAAAAATAAAAAATAAAAATAAAAATAAAAAAAATTTACTGGTTAGTACAGTTTCCATTTTGACCAGTTTATTTGTTCTCCCAAGCACACAACCCTGATAATGAGTAAAGACCAAGGCTGAGCACAGTGGCTCATGTCTGCAATTTCAGCACTTTGGGAGGCCAAAGCAGAAGGATTGCGTAAGCCCAGGAGTTCAAGACCAACCTGGGCAATTAGAGAGACTCCATCTCTACCAAAAAAAAAATTTCCAAAAAAAGGAAAAAACAAGTCAAGACCAGGAGACCAAGGTACCTCTTCTGGCCTAGGCTGAGTGAACAAAAAAATCAAGAACTTGAGAAGGTCTCCTTGAGCTCTATTTGTGCTGCTACTCTTGAGTCTAGAACATGTGCTGTGATCCTTCCAATACTTCGCTCAACAACCCCGCCCCCACCAAAAAAATTACTCAGGACCTTGTGCTTAGTCCCAGAGGCCCCTCTTAGCTCTCAACAAGTCCATCACCAAATGATCTTTAGGCTCAGAATCATAATACATCCCCCAAGCTTGGCTCTGAGGATGCCGTTGGAGACGGGAGGTGATTCCATGAGAGGCTGATAAAGGAAAGGTGAAGCGAGTTGATGAGTCCTTCAATCATTTTAGGTAGGGGTCAGCAAACATTTCTCACAAAGGGTCAAATAGTACATATTTTAGGCTTTGAGGTCCATTTATAGTCTCTGTTTTATAACTCTTCTTTGTTTTTTGACTCATTAAAATTGTACAAACCCTTCTTAGTTGTGCCGTAGGGACCAGGTAATTCAGCCATGTTCTTTGAATCTCATTTAACCTTTACACTTGACCTCGCAAGTCTTTTCCATATCTTCTTACTGTTAGTGACTATTCAAAGGTAATATTTGAAATACATAGACTTTTTAAAAGAAAAGAAACTAATATTGTTTTGGACTCTAAGGATGGGTTTGAGCTAACATTCTAAGGTGGCTTTTCTAAAAGATTAGAGTAAAATCTCCAGTAGATAATATAATAACATTTAGTTCCTTGATAAGATATTTTATTTAAGAATCTCAGCCCTCATTAATAACATGAATAAAAAAGAAAAAAAAAAAAACAACCTTATGCAATCACCCAATAATGAGAAGAAAGCAAATTACCCGATTGTCCAAAGATACTAGCTAAGGCCTAAAAGAAGCTGTTTTCCCAAGCTCCAGGCACTGCCTTTTATAAACTACCGTATATAAAATTGGGACTTTGGGAGGCCGAGGCAGACGGATCATGAGGTCAGGAGATTGAGACCATCCTGGCTAACATGGTGAAACCCCGTCTCTACTAAAAATACAAAAAGTTAGCCAGGCCTGGTGGTGGGCACCTGTAGTCCCAGTTAGCTACTCAGGAGGCTGAGGCAAGAGAATGGCATGAACCTGGGAGGCGAAGCTTGCAGTGAGCCAAGATGGTGCCACTGCACTCCAGCCTGGGTGACAGAGCGAGACTCCATCTCAAAAAAAAAAAAAAAAAGGACTGCAAGTAAGAGTAATATGTTTTTTATTTTATTATTATTATTTTTTGAGACAGAGTCTTGCTCCGTCCCCTAGGCTGGAGAGCAGTGGCGCGATCTTGGCTCACCACAACCTCCACCTCCTCAGTTCAAGTGATTCTACTGCCTCAGCCTCCCAAGTAGCTAGGATCACAGGTGCCCGCCACCACACCCAGCTATTTTTTTTGTTGTATTTTTAGTACAGACCATGTTAGTACATCACTGTGTTGGCCAAACTAGTGTTGAACGCCTGACCTCAGGTGATCCACCCACCTCGGCCTCCCAGAGTGCTGGGATTACAGGCATGCGTCACTGCGCCCAGCTGCAACTAAGAGTAATATCTCTTTACACTTCGTATAGTGCTATTCAGTTAAGTGAGCACTTGTCCCTGATTATGTCACTTAGGTCTTATGCCAACCATAGAAGGTGGGCCGGGTTTGGTCAGTGAATGACAGGTCCTGAACTGAAACCTGGTCCTTTCTGTTCCCAAGGCCAGGACTCTCTTCACTGCCTCCCACTTCTCCCTGACCCTGAGTTCTGAATGGAGATCCAAGTGGAGGGAAGGGATTGACCTCAGATAGGAGAACACTTCTTGCTTTGCACAGGAGTGAAGGTAGGGAGGCTGGATGCAGATGCAGGAAGGTTTGTTGAATTGAGGGCGAGGAGTTAAGCCTAATACTACCCTTAGACCCTGATAGCTGGGCTGCCTGCCCTGGGCCCCACATTTCAGAAAGACCAGCTCTAGCTGCACTTCAGGCTTATCTCTCTCTATGACCCAAAGGAATATGCTTACCCAGAGCCCATACTTCCCCTTCTAGAACATACTGTGGTGCCCAAGACTTCAGAATCTAGGGTCTTCATGGACCTCCAGAAGGTGGACATCACCAGTGGTCTGAGGGGTGGCCAAGAGGCAGCTGCTTACAGGGAGTGTAAACAGAGCATAGCCGTGTGGTCTGAACTGTCCCCACACAGATGCATGGGCTCTTTATTCTGTAGATTTGCCAGGGGTGGGAAGAGAACAGGTTTGGGAAAGTGACAGGGCAGAAACCACTATTCATAAAATTTTGTCTCTAATCCTACAAATGTTAGAAATGGGCTGGTTAAGGCAGTTGCCAGCTGATGGCTTCTACTTGTTCTGGACAGTAACAGGCAAGCCCTCTGTTCTTGCTGGAAGACTAGAAAATGAGTAGAGAAAATCAAATGGAAGACTAGTAAAATGAGTAGAGAAAAATAGATCCCTGGGCAGTCTAGAGGGCACTGTTGAAGGAGAAGACCACACACGTTGAATGCTAGTGTCTTAGGTTGGGCTCTCCAAGTCAAAGACATACATGCAAGTAGATCATCTGGGGATGATCCCGGGAAACACTGGTGTGGGACTAGGGAGCTGAGATGGGCAGGCAGCCAAGAGAGGGCCTGTTATGCAGCAGGTCAGCACTGTGGGCAACTGGGACTCAGTCCTGCTTGGGACCCTGTGAGATGGTACAGAGACCTCAAAGTTGTCCCATATCAAGGGGCATACAGGCATGTACCTCCCAGATATCCCACTCAAGGGCATATTTATCTACCAACTTCCATCAGTCATTAGCTGAGAGGCTGCTCCCTGGATGTTAACTCTTTAGTCTTTCTGGCATATTTTGTGATCAGGTAGACTCGGGCCACTAGATAAAGCCTTCAGGCAGGTGGAAGATGGATGGTTGTATATCACAGTAGTAAGGTCTGAGGGGATGTGGGCAGAGAATTGCCAGTGACTACTCCATGTAAATAATATTGTTACTATCCCTGTATTGCAGATGAGAAAACAGGAAAAGAAAGGGCAAATAGCTTCCCGTAGTCACACAGATTGAAAACAGCAGAACTGGTGTAAAGGAAAGAAAAGAGAACAGACAACAGTGGTCTTAAACAAGGGTTTGGAGGAACCAGGAGACACACCCTCCACCAATTAGCAGGCAGTTCCAAGAGGGGATTTTAAATCTCTTCTGAATCTTGCTAACAGACCCTAGCCACCATTGCGAGGGGCAGGAAATTGTAAAACATGGGAAGATGAGCTCGGAAGGTCCATTCTGCTTAATTGGGTGGATTAAATGTGAGAAAAGACAGATGTTCTGGGCCAGTTGAACCAGAAACAGAATGACAGCTTTGGAAGAGAGCACTCCACATGCAGTTTTTCTCAGGATATGGAGAGATCTGTCTTTTTTTGTTTTGAAGAGCATTGCAGGTGATGAAGTTGAGCAAATACGAGGGATTTTACATTATTTGTTATGTTTATTTTTTTATACCATGAGCCCTGTTTTGCTTTTGTGTGCAGCTGACAGTTGGTTCTAAAGGGCCAGCTCTACAACAGCCTATCTGGAGGGCTCTGAAATGTTACAGGGGATTCTCATGCAAGGTCATACCTGGCTATTAAATCTAACCTTGGCTTGCCTAACCTTGGCTTATGTGAGGTTATGGGCAGAACTATTAAAACGCAGTCAAGGGGCAAAAATGTCCAAGTCTCTTGTGTTACTGGTCTGACTTGCTCCACAAGCTTGAAGAGTAAACATGATGCCATCACTTGTAATTTTCACTCAGCCCCCACTCCCGCGCTTTATTATCATGAAGTCCAACACCTTCCTCTTGAGGCTTCGCCCTCCCTACCCTTTAGAACTTTAGAGCTTCTCAGCCCAGTGATCAATACTATTGAACTGTCTCTTGCAGCCATGTGATGTCACTGCTGAAGATGGGTTCTGCACAGTCTTAAAGTTTTAAGGATGGGCTTTTCCACTGTGACCTGCTCAGCCCACATTAGTTCCCCACACCAGGTTCAAGATCATAAGCCATTTTAGTCTACACTCCCATGCTCAGCCATTACTCTCCAAAGCACAACCACTGGCCCAGTCTGTGTTGAAATTATTCCCTCATTGAGCCTTGCTCATCAGCGTGGATTTCTGGTGCCTTGTAGCCCACCCTGGTCTATTTCTTGGAGAGCAAGAGTTGAATACTTAGTTTCTTTTTTCTTTTCTTTTTTTTTTCAGAAAAACTCAGGCTCCTTATAAAAATGGGTCCTCTTTTCCAGCCAGATCTGCACACCCCTTAACTAAGAGTTTACTTTCAAGGGACTTTTTGTTTAAATAAGAAAGTCTGCAAAGCGCCTGATTACTGAACAGTCACACCATTAGACTTGGTTTCCTTGGAGCTCAGTGAAAACATCATGGCTCTGAGTACAAGTTTTAGAGTCCGTTAGACTCAGGCTTGATCCGAGGTCTGTGATCTTGGGCATTTATGTACTACTGTAAGCCTCAGTTTGCCCATGTGTCGAATGTCATATCGAAGGATATGATATGACATGACATGACATATGTCTTATACAGGCAATAACACAAAGCACTTTCTGCAGTGCCTAGAATAAGTGCCAGACAAGATTTATTACTACTACTATTCTTATTATCATAGTAATAATGATAATAATAATAAACAAATCTAAGAAAGTTGACCTTATGACTGTGCTTTTGCTATTGCTTTAGACAGATCACCCAATCCTTAAGTGTTGGACCAGGGAGACTGGCCCTTTCAGTTAATATTAATTGCATTCACTGTTAGATACAGAGTAATTTAGCCAATTTCCTGATTCTATACATTTCTAAACTGAAAGACTGTTTCCTTTTAGTTAACCCACTGCTTCAGATCCACATTCAAGCCGTGATTTTTTCTGACATTGCATTAGACAGTGGATTACTTATTACTTTTTATCCAAACATCAACTGGCTAGCTGAACTGAAATTGATTCCCATCCCCTCTCCCCCAAAAGAATCACACTGAGTTTCACTGTTTAAGCAAAAGACCTCTGAAAACTGGTTAAAGACCATTTTTCCCACTTTCAAAAATGTGAGTGAATGATGGTAGGGCTAGAAGAGTGTGAGTCAGTAGAGGTGGGCCTACCTCAGCAGGTGCCGGAGGGACAGTTGTTTCTCCAGTCTCACAGAGCAAAGTCTGGGTGCTGCAGATCCTGGTGAAAGCTTTATCCCAGCTGGAGTTACAAGTGATAATGGATACGCTTCTTCTCTGATCTTGGCCCAGCAGCCCTGAGCTTCACACACAGGGAAGACATGCACCCTTTTAGAAGGGTTGGAATAAAGATTTGAGGAAAGGAAGGTGATAGTTTTTCACTTATTCTCTCTCTCCTCTTGTTTTATGGGTCAGCACCAGGCGTGGCAGGGCCAGTTGGAGTGGTGATCAGGAGGGAGGAAAGAGAGCAGACCAAGAATATAGAGGCTCAGACCTCTTTAATTTAGTGCCTGGTTTCCTTCTTGCCTTCAGTTTCAACCTGTACTTTAATCTCATTGTGAGTCGCTGCCTGTGACAGATTATGAACAATGCCACCCTTGTTCCCCATGAGGGATGTCAAGTCAGGATCCCGATCAACATTCATTATACTGAAGGGCTGAGATTAAGAGACTGTCCAAATTCGCATACCAGTGGACACAGATGTTCTATTTCAAAATAATGGAGAGGCTATGATTCAGGAGCTGGAGCAACTTTTTAAAAAATTGGTCCCATTTCAAACAAAACAAGCATTTGTAATACAGATAATAAAAAGTTGGAAACCTCCTAAATGTATAGGATCAGGAAATTGGTTAAATTACTCTGTATCTAACAGTGAATACAATGAATGTATGAAAATGGTGATATGAATCTGTTTCTACTGTCAGGAAGACATGTTCATGATATACTTTTAAGAAAAGAGCATTGCATGGTCAGATGCGGCGGCTCATGCCTGTAATACCAGCAGCATTTTGGGAGGCCGAGGTGGGTGAATCACTTGAGCCCAGGAGTTCGAGACCAGGCTGGGAAACATGACTTAACCGTCTTTACAAAAAATACAAAAATTAGCCAGGTGTGATGGTGCACGCCTGTAATCCCAGCCACTCGAGAAGCTGGGGCTGAGAATCGATTGAGCCTGAGAAGTTGAGGCTGCAGTGAGTCATGATGGCACCACTGCATATATACAATGATATATGTATATATCCAGATACATATATACATATATCATTAGAAAAGATATAACAAGGGCTAACGCAATATCTGGATTTGAGGGATACTTTTTTTCTTTTCTGTTTTTCTTGTTTTGTGATTTTATTTGTTTATTTTGTTTGACTGGCTTTTCTATATATGCTAATAGCCTGTATTTATGAGTAGCCACTAAGCATCAGGCATATAGCCTTCTATTTACTTCTGCAAATAAGTCCTCTAAAAATGAGGGAACCCGGAAAGGTCAGGCAACTTACCCAGGCCAGCATCATAAAATCAAGAATCTATCTGAGTCAGCCTGCCTCCAGACCCAGCTTCATCATCTTCTGTGGGACAGGCTAGGTTAACCCAAAGGTGGTGGAGTGGGGGACTTCAGGCCACCCTGAAGGCCTCTGGATGCCCTGGGATGACTGTGAGCACAAGCAGATACTCGGCTTAGGTATGCATTGCTAATTCCAAACTCTATAGGCTACTAATACATGCTCTTTCCTGGTCAGGTTTGGTCCAGAGCCTGGGCTGGGCCAAACCTGCAGGTGAAGCTTTCTAGTGCCTGCTCAAGTTGGGCAAATCGGTCCAGGACTCTCAACCTACTCTCCTGCACACAGGCAGCCCCAGCACTGCCCAGCAACACCTGCCTGTTCGTTTGTTGACATACACATTGCCAAAGTGGGATCAATATGTCAATATTATTTTATTTTGCTTTTTTTCTCCTTAATTATGAATACTTTAATTCTGAGCACTGATGCAGGTATTAACATGCCTCAGCCGGGCACAGTGGCTCACATCTGTAATCCCAGCACTTTGGGAGGCCAAGGAGGGTGAATCACCTGAGGTCGGGAGTTTGAGACCAGCCTGCCCAACATGGTGAAACCCCATCTCTACTAAAAATATAAAAATTAGCCAGGGATGGTGGCAGACACCTGTAATCCCAGCTACTTGGGAGGCTGAGGCAGGAGAATCTCTTGAACCTGGGAGGCAGAGGTTGCAGTGAGCTGAGATCGTGCCATTGCACTCCAGCCTGGGTGACGAGAGTGAAATTCCATCTCAAAAAAAGAAAAAAAGAAATGCCTCTACCATGTGAAAAACTTCCTATAGCTTCTTCCTACGCTTTCATTTTGGTTGCTTATTTTTAGACTGATAAACCTAGAAGTTTGGAAATATAGGGCATCCAGGTGACTATTCATTTTCCTTCTGAGATGAAGATGGCTTTTGTACCTCCCCCCAGAGGTCTAAATGAGGAAGAACCAGGCAACCCGATTGTATACAAGATCTATGAAGTACAATTCTCAACCTTGGCTGAGTGTTGGACTCACCTGGGACTTTTAAAACCTGTTGATGCCTGAGTCCACTCTCAGAGATTCTGATTTAATTGGTATGGGGTGTAGCCTTGGCACTGGGGGGATTTTTTAAGCTCTCCAGGTGATTCTAATGCATGGCAAAGTGATAATTATTTCCTGGAACCTGCCCTACCTTTCTTCATCCTCTTCCTCCACAATCCAAGGAGACAAAATTGGTTTGGAGGAAATAGTTTTTCTTATTGATCAGTCCTTCCCTAAGTGAAGCAGTGCGGATTAAGGTACTCAGGGTTTTCAGTGGCCCACCGAGAAAGCAGTGATCAGAGGAGTCCCGCCCATTTCTGACTCTCCCTTTCCCTTTTTATTCAGTATGGTATTGTGCTGGATGCCGGGTCTTCTAGAACCACAGTCTACGTGTATCAATGGCCAGCAGAGAAAGAGAATAATACCGGAGTGGTCAGTCAAACCTTCAAATGTAGTGTGAAAGGTAAGGACTGAAGTGTGTCTGGGAGTTGCAATGGGAAGCAAGGTGAAGTTCTAAGTGTCTTGGAGGCCTGGAGAGGTCCTTAGATGTTGCTGGGAGGCAGGGAATGAGCATTGGACTGGGAGTCAGGAAATAGAAGATCTTGTGCTAGTGCTGCTACTCATCAGTGGAATAAACTTGCTCTAGTCACTTCCCTTCTCTGGGCCTCAGTTTTTTAATCTGTATACATGGGAAGGGGTGGCGTCAAGAACTGTGGATGGTCTGAGATTTTACCCTGCCATATTTTCATGGGTGCTGGAAGACATAAGACTCCTGGTTCAGAAACAAAGGATAATTTGTTACTTACAGGAGTAGCCCAGAGTATCAGCATTTTCTTACACTGATACTGATTCCCAATTTGCCCAGGATGATGGAAAGAGGGACAGAGAGTATGCACTCATGCAATAGGTTCTGTCATAGGAAAGGAAGTCTGGGATTTTAGAGAAGCATTTATAATGGGCAGTGAGCATGTCTGCCTTTTGCTGTGGAGGGAAACACAAGGAACACATGGAAAGCTGTCTTCCAACAGTGATAAGGAGTAGTCGTGTGTACTGACGGGCAGGCAGAGAGAGAATGACAATATATAAACAAATGGACATGGCTCTGTTCCAGTAAAGCTTTATTTATGGACACTGAAATTTTGAATTTCATATAATTCTCACATCATGAAATGTAATTCTTCTTGTAAATTTTTTCCCAACATTAAAAAATGTAAAAACTCTCTTAGCTCACAGGCTGTACAAAAAAAAGGTGGTATACTGGATTTGGCCCATGGGGTGCCAGCCCTTGAAACGGCGTATTAGCAGCAATGATAATAAATGATCCTCCATGCAGCTCCCTGCCTTTTCCACAGCATATTCTGAGTTTTATATTAACTGTTTCCTTGTTCTTTATAGTTTCGTCTTATGTATGTAGTGTTTCTGTTTTTTAAAACAAAATCAAACATGTATTCATATAAATGGAATCAACATATTTTATGCTGTATTTGCTTTGTTCACTAACAACATTGGATTTTTAAGATTCATCTGTGTTGATATGAGTAACTATCTTGCTCATTTTTTTTTTTTTTTTTTTTTTTTTTTTGAGACAGAGTCTCCCTCTGTTGCCCAGGCTGGAGTGCAGTGGCACAGTCTTGGCTCACTGCAATCTCTGCCTCCTGAGTTCAAGCGATTCTCCTGCCTCAGCCTCCCAAGTAGCCGGGATTACAGGTGCCTGCCACCACACCTGGCTAATTTTTGTATTTTTAGTAGAGATGGGGCTTCACCATGTTGGCCAGGCTGGCCTCGAACTCCTGACCTCAAGTGATCCACCTGCCTTGGCCTCCCAAAGCGCTGGGATTACAGGCATGAGCCACTGCGCCCAGCCTCATTTTTCCTTGTTGATAGGCATTTGTATTTTCTTGGTTACTTAATATCTTTACATATATTTGTAGCAATTTCTGTTTTCTGTGAAATGCATGTTCATGTCTTTTGTTCATTTTTCTATTGAATTATTGAATTTTTCTTACTAATTCATTGAAATTCTTTATAAATATTCTAAATATTAATTCTTTGCCATTAATATTATCATATTATTGCTAATATCTTCTCACAGTTTGTAGTTTGTCTTTTTAGTTTGTGATGTCTCTTGATGAATAGAGGTTCTTGATTCTTATGTAAATACAACCATCAATATTCCCTTTTGTGGCTTGCTTTTTTGTATGTTTTATTTAAGAAATCCTTTCCTATCTTGAGGTCATACAGATATTTTTCTATGAAAAGTGTTATAATTTTGCCTTTTACAATTAAGTAATTAGTCTAAGTAATCGAGCCTAGTTAGGGAGTGTGTATAATTAGGAGTGTGTATAATTAGTCCAAGTAATCGAGCCTAGTTAGGGAGTGTGTATATGTGTAAGTCTTTTTCAAAGCCACTTATCTTCCTCATTCGAGCATTAGGATGTTTGAGTTGGCCTGTAGCCTCCCAACCAGGGTGTTCTGAATGTGCCCAGTGTATCCTTGAGCCCACAGGACAACAAGTTAGAGACTCCAGACCTGTCCTCCCAGCCCAGCAACCTCCTTTGTTTCCCTCAGTGAGCTGCCAAAACATTGTAAGTTCATGGGGATCATGGCATTGAAAAACTTGGGGAGCAGAGTTAGTCTTTCTCACCGGGAGACCAACAGTCTTCTTTGGATAATCAGAGTGAATTCTGATCATCTGCCCTCTGAGGAGGGCAGCCAGGAGCTTGCCTACCCTGATGCACAGGTGTTCCAGGTTAGGCTCTCCAGAAGCAGATGTAGAGACAGATTGTGGAATGCAAGGTGGTTATTAGAGATGCACCATTATAGCAGAAAGCAGGCAGAGAGAAGGACTGGACAAAAAAAGAAGTCAAACTTCAACTCAGGCCTGATGAAGCTTCAACTGATCTGTTATGCTGCACTGGGTTGAAATGATGTGAAGTGGCTTGGCTGTAACACCCCTGTTGCTGCCACTCATCGGATGTTTGCCACCCTGGAAAGAGCAAGATCTTGAGCAAGGCAGCTCTCTGCAGCTCAGGCAGACCCTGAAGAAGCTGACAGCTGGAACAATAAGTCTATTTGAAGGGGTATTTGCACGGCATGTTTTTGGGTTCACCACACAGGGGACTTGGATATTTTCCCTTCTTTTTTTTTCTTTTTGAGATAGGGTCTCACTCTGTCTTCCAGGCTGGAGTGCAGTGGCACAATCATGGCTCGCTGCAGCCTAGACTTCCTGGGTTCAAGCAGTCCTCCTATCTCAGCCTCCTGAGTAGCTGGGACTACAGACAGTGCCACCACATCTGGCTAATTTTATTTTTTGTAGAGATGGGGTCTCACTACGTTGCCCAGGCTGGTCTTGAATTTCTGGGCTCAAGCCATCCTCCTGCCTCAGCCTCTCAAAGTGCTGAGATTACAGGTGTGAGCCACTGCACCCAGCAGATATTTTCTGAGTGTTGCTTGCACTGTTATCCACAAGACACAGGCAGCTGTAGCCCTGCTGTGACCTCAACCAGCAATTCTCTATCTGCTCGGGTAACTCCTGAGCAATTTCCTCACCTTCAACCATGAAATAGGACAGCAGGCTGCTCCTTTCAAAGAGACTACGTGCTCTGAGTAAAGAGAAGAGAGTGTAAGATCGAGATTAAGACTTCACCTCATCCCTACTGTGTGAACCTTGGAAAGTTATCTAACCTCTCTGAGTCTTGACTTCCTCATCTCTAAAGTAAAAAACGTAATAGTAGTTATACCTACCCCATAGGAGTGATTTGAAGATTAAATGACATAATATATATCAAAGAAATGCCTAGCATACAGTAAGTGCTCAATAAGCATTAGCTGTTATTCGTGGGGCACCACAATCCAGAGCTCCTGGTGGATCCTCTTGCCACTTGTTACTCTGTCCCACAGTTACAAGATCTCTGTTTTTAGACCCAGGAGGGCAATTCAATCAAGTTAGTCCTGAAAGCCTTACGACTGTGGGCAAAAATAAGACTTACGTGGGGAGGTGTTACAGCAGTCCCTCAGGGGAAGGGTTCCTTGGCCCACCCTGGATGGCATATGTGATTTGAGGAGGCACAGAGTCATGGAGGCCACAGCA